AGTAGATAGTTGTATGTCATAGTTGCACATCCTGTTAGTTACTCCATGTGGGACACTGCCTCATCATGGCCAGACAAGCGATGTGTCGGTGCGTGCCTGGGATTCAAACCCAAGCCACCAGTAGCAGAGCACGCACACCTAACTGCTAAGCCATGGGCCGGCCCCTATGAATTGGTTTGATAACATATTATACACAGCAGAAAAGTTAGCCAGAATATCTATGTGAACAAAGTACTTAGAGTATAGCACAAAGATCAAAGAGAAATACATGAAAAAGAGGCAGACTCCTGGAGATCAGAGTCAATGAGACAGGCCCACCCACATCAACTCAGATCCTGAAAGCAAAGAGAGGAAAACATAAGGCAGAGGCATCAACTGAAGAGACAAGAGCTGAGAATTTCCCAAAACTAATGAAAGTGACCACACCAGTGACTCAAGAGAATTGAATAAAAATCTGCACTTAGACATATCACTTAAACCACAGTACACTGAAGTCAAAGAGAAGATATAAACAGCCAAAAAAGATAAAATATTACTTTCAAAGATGTGAATGATGACAGCTGATTTCTCATCAGCAACCTCTAAGTTACAAGACAATGAAAAAATACCTTTCATGGCCTGAAGAATGGGCATCCACAGAATCACATGTCTAACAAAAATATACATGAAGAACAAGGGAGAGAGGACTTCTGCTTCTGGGAACCATGGACTAAGCAACTCTGATCAACTCTTCCACTAAAAACTACCCAAATTGAACAAAACAAAAAAACACTTTTTTGAAACTAAGACATCTAACAAGATGGTAAGGGATTACCAGGCCAAGGTCCAGGAAAGAAAGGAAATCCAGAGACGTGAGCCCAATATTTGGGGCCGTCTTGGCCCAGGGGTTATTGTCGATTGGGAAGAGAGAGCTGAGAGGCTGAACCCTGTTTCTGACAGCCTTTTGTGGCTAGTAGGCAAAAGCACTTGTTCAGGGCTCACCAACAATGGACTTCCTTGTCAACTACCCCACCAGGCTGCACCTTAAGAGTAGGGAGCATCCTGGCTTCAGGCCATCTGGCTGGTCCAAACTATCTCACACTCTGAAGCTGTATTAAGGTGATCGTGAACTGGTGATGACACAGGTACCTGCCTGAAGCACACAAAAATCTACTTTGGCAAAAGATATCATCCTAGGCCTCAAATTATTTCTGCAAATAAGTTTCAAAAGTAATGTCCAGTACACAGTCAACAATAACTAGGCAGACGGAGAGAGAAGACAGCATAACAGAGAACCCGCAGTAAAACAGACATTGTGCCTTCAGCCTAGATCACTCACACTGTAGAGAGCCAGCTGTTAAGTCCCCTCTGGAAAGGCTCACACAGCAGGGATGAAGCTTCCTGCTGTGGCCATGTGAGTGAGCCTGGAAGCACCCACCCAGTCAGGCCTTCAGATGACTGAGTCAGCATCTTAATTGCAACCTCATGAGAGTCTCTGAGCCAGAACCATTCAGCTAAGCTGCTCTGGAATTCCTGATCACAGAAACTGTGAGATAATAAATGTTGTTTTAAGCCAATAAGTTGTGGTAATTTGTTACACAGCAATAAATAACTAATACACCCTCCTAGAGAAAGTCTTACCCGTACGCATCAGGAGACATGCAAAAGAATGTTTACAGCAGAGTTGCTGATTTTAGCATAAAATTAAAAACAATCCAAATTATCCATCAACAGATTGGATAAATAAACTGGTATATTAGTCAATGAAATAATACATAACAGTAAAAATGAATGACCTTCATGCTATTAACATGGATGAGTCTCACAAGCGTATTATTGTGTGAAAAAGCAAGTAACAAAAAATATATGCAACATAATCGCATTTATATAAAGTATATGCTAACATAAAGCATTGAAAAAAATCCATCCTTCAGGGATAGATTATTATGAAAAGATGATTATTAGAAGCCAAAATAGTGGTTATCCGTGGGCAAAGGATTCGGGTGAAGGTGGGAGGTTTTTAAAATACCGGTAATTCTGGGACCGGCCCGGTGGTGTAAGCAGTTGGGTGTGCTCGCTCTGCTGCGGCAACCCGGGGTTCACCGGTTTGGATCCCAGGCGTGCACTGAAGCACCGCGTGTCATGCCATGCTGTGGCGGTGTCCCATATAAAGTGGAGGAAGATGGGCACGGATATTAGCCCAGGGCCAGTCTTCCTCAGCAAAAAAAGAGGAGGATTGGCAGATGTTAGCTCAGGGCCAATCTTCCTTACAAAAAAACAAATAAATAAATTAAATACTGGTAATGCTCTTTTTCTCAATCTGGGTTGTGGTTTACTCACAGATTTGTTTTATTACTATTCTTGAAACTATACATAGATTGTATCCACTCCTCTGCATATAAGATATATTTCACAACAAAAGAAATGGAGTTAGCAACAATGTAAAGAACAGTAACACCTTTCAAAGGCAGAGCCAAGAAGTAAGTGATGCTGAGGCCGGTCAGGAATTTGTGGAGGATTAAGAAACAGTTGTCCCACTTCCATTTTGCAAAGGGATCCTTTTCTGAGGTCCTGCATCTAGACAGAATTAAACCTGGGCTTCTGTCATAGTAGTTACCACTCTGTTTTTTTCTGTTTGTCTCTTAACTCCCCAAAACATATCCTGTAAAGCCCTCGCGGCCTCTGCAGCGCCCCGGAGGCTGCCTGACTCGAAGAAGTGCACAGCAGCTATTTGTTGAAAAACTGCAAGATTGAAGCTCAGGTTGCAAAGAAATTTCTATAATGACAGTTACCAAGAAAGTTTAGAGAAATTATAAGGAGATGGAGGTACGCCTGGGAAGAAAAGTAAGAGTACAAACAGGACAGTGTTGTATAAGCCCATACACCATAAGATCTCAAAAGGATTCCAGTACCAGTCCCAGGCTAAACAAAAAGAATTAAATTGGCATATTGAGTGAGCACCCTCCTGTACAAATGACAGCCTGAATATGACCAGTCAGTTTCGGTTATGGCTTTCCGCAGTGGCCCTGGCATTTATACACAGGCTATTTCCCCAGGACAGCAGACATCCCTCTGGGGCTGCTGTCTTGATCTTAGCAGACACGGGGGACTGGATTTCCTTGTTCACAGCCAGCATTCCGAGTCTCCACTGTAGGCCAGCACTGTTTCACGTGCCAGGATTACAGAATCACTGCACAACGTCTGTCCTCCGTAGGGTGATAGTCTAGCAGGAGAGACAGCTGTGAAAAGGTCCGATTTACACACTTTATTTAGTGCGTTGTAGACTGCACGGCCAGCGACCCCAGAACACCCGGCTGGACACTCCGTAGAGGGGTGACTGGATTGGATCCGGGATCTCCAGTGCGCTTCCCCCAGTTTTCCTCCGCATGGCTAACTCCCTTCTTCCTTCAAATCTTCGCGCAGAGGTCACCTTTTCCAAGAGGCCTACCCTGAGCATTGGGTAGGCCTCTACTGCCATTGCCACGGCCCGCCACCCTCTTTTTCCATCCCCTTCCTAACGTTCTCTAACGTGGACAGGTCATGTTGATAGCAGACGGCCACCCTCCCCATAGGCGGCCGGGGACTTCTGCCAGCTTGGCCCCAGGTGCACTGCGCGCACGGAGGAGCCACCAGTGGAGGAAACCCACGCGTGTGAAGGGCGGGCAGGGCTCGGCCGGGGAAGGGCCCGGAGAGCACATCCTCCGCCCTCTGCGAGGAGGACAGGTCGACGCGCTCCCGGCAGAGAAGGCGCCGGCCGGGGCGCAGGGTCCCCCGCAGCCCTGGCCCGCCCCGCGAGCCCGGGGCAGAGGCGGGCGCACTTACTCGAGCTTCTGGAAGCGCTCACGGCCGGCCGCCACGTACTTGCCGCCGGCCTGCAGCGCGTCCAGCTCGCGCACCGGGTGCCCGCGCGTCGGCGTGTAGAGGCGCCGCACGCCGAACGGCACCTGCACCTGCTCCGTCAGCTGCTCCAGCAGCGCCTCGAAGGTGGCGACGCGGCGCCGCGGCAGCACCACGCGGCGGCCCACGTAGAACGGGTCCCCGTTGCGGTACACCAGGATGGTCTTGGCGGGGGTGGTGTCCACCAGCGCGGGGAACCCGCGCGTGCCCATGGCCGCGGGACAGCAGACACCTCGCCGTCCGCGGCCAGTGGCCACGGAACGCTGCGCTCGAGCCGCGGGGCAGCCAGGGCGAGGGGCGCGGGAATGCAGCTGCCCAGACGGGCCCCTGGCACTCCCCACCTGTGTTGACGCCAGTCGGCGATTGTGACCACAGCCCGCCGCCGGCCGTCCGGGAGAGGGGCAGCGGAGCCGGACAGGTAACGGGGCATCAGAGAGCCAGGACAGGTGAGGAGGGAGAGCTAGGACAGGTGAGGGGCAGCAAGAGAACCCGGACAGGTGAAGGCAGCAGAGCTCAGGGAAAGGAAAGGAAAGGAGACAGTCGCTCCTGCAAACGTGGCAGGAATGGGAGATTGCGGAGGATCCACCAGGTAGGTACCCACTGCAAACCCTCCCACTACACTTGCCACCTTCCTATGCAGAAAAGATTGGGTCGTGGACTGGAGGAGGGGGCATCAGGACCACCTTGGCAATCAAAACTGCATGGAGGAGGAATTGTCTGGAACCATTCAGAGCATGTGAGAAACTGGGTTACTAGGCGCAGCTAGCACATGGTGTATCAAAGGTTAACATTCAGAATGCACCTTTATTTGGGGGAAGAACAACTCAAGGGGCTGTATGTCCTTGGGAAAGTCATTCCCTATTCTAGGTAAAGATAGGCCAGTCCTCTTGAGCTGGACAATGAATGATTCTAGAAATACATTTTTCCAATCGTTTTGATGGGCTTAAACTTTTAAAGACAGTAGGCTATGTGTTACCTGCTGAATCTACATACAGAAGGTATGGAAGCGTGATACTATAAAAAAAAATGGAATTCTTTAAGAAACCACCTCCCATTCACAGTCACAGTCAATTTTTAAACTAGCAAACACTTCATAGCAACGTTAAATACAGATATCAACGTGCGAGAGGGACCACTTTATTAAGTCACCAGGAATTATAGTGATCTTAAACAGATTAATTGCTAGAAGCTTCTTAAGCTTCAGGTGTTCAAAATACTTCAAAAGAAGAGTATGAGTAATTATGTAACCAACACACGGTTTTGTGTGGGGTTATAGGTTCGCTTTGAACCCCAGCTTAACGGAGAACCTCATCATGGGCCTCTCCCGGGGGCGCAGGAGGCAGATGGAGCTGGGGAATCCCTTGAGTCGGAGGCGGCTCACGCCCCCGTCCGGAGTGATGGTGAACCTCACGTGAGTGATGACGTCCTGGAGCTCCAGGGTTAGGCTGTCAAACAAGTGACTTTCGTCCGGAGATAGCTGAAAGAGAGGCAGACGTAGCGGTCTCTGTAATAACGCAGTGTACGTGGCCCAGATGGGCTGACTCACCCGACGCAGCCCCTCTAGAGATCTGCTAGTAGGGAAAGGATGCCCAGATAATACTGACGTGAATACTCAGATCCCCGTGATGTTTGTTGTTTTTAATAGTTAAGTAAGTGGACAAGCTGATGTGAGAAAGAAAGAAGCAGGCATGTTGGTGTCTCCCAGAGGCCGACACCCATCCTTACATGGGAGCAGCCGGCACCCCCCACTCTGACCTGCAAATGACTTCCCTCCTACTGGGAAAAGAAAATGCTTCTGGACCATCTCAGTGTCCACCTGAGTAGACACACCATTATAGCTTTAAATGTGCTAGACAGACCGCATATATGCTGGTGGTCCCATAGATTAGTACCATAGAGCCTAGGCGTGTAGTCGGCTATACTGTCCAGGTCTGGGTAAGTACGCTCTGTGATGTTCGCACAATGAAGAAATCACCAAACGATGCATTTCTCAGAGTGCATCCCTGTTGTTAAATAACTCATAACTATATATATCTTTTGCACATGATGGTTTAAAACAAAATTTGATTGTTAGACATTCAAAAGTATGCAAAAATAGAGCCTATCTTTTTATTATATACATGCACAGGTATGATTTAAGTTAACCTAGTTAAACCGAGCAGAAGTTTGGAGCTGTATCATAACCCTTGGGAAGCCAATCTGAGTGAAGCCGCACAGGTGGAGGGCCCGCCAGCACGGCGCCCGCGGATGCTGCCCCACGCTCACCTTGGTGACTGGAAGCAGTGGCTTCCACCTGTGGCTGGGAAGATCCCACTTCTGCCTGATCATGTCTTCTTCTTCCTGAGCTGTCAGGATACAACCATCCAGCTTACAGCTGTCAGGAGAATTGCCTAGGAGAACAAAATGCAGAGTGACTCTCTCCACTCCCTTTGCACCCAGTCCAGTTTGGTTTATAGGATATCAGACTTTTTAAATCGGATCAAAAACGCAGCAAAGAACAAATCATTGTTCTTTCTAAGCAAAAGCACAGGTATGAAGTATGTGAGAAAAGGAACATGCAGGTTTGTGATGGAACTGGATTGCCTCGTGAAATACATGGTGTTTGTTTTTCAGAGGAATCAGAAAAGTCCGACATATTAATGGGCTGGCGCATTTGAGTTTGAATGTATGGCATTTTACTTTGCAAGTTTAATGTATTTGAAAAGCTTCCTAGATTGTAGATTTAGTTACTTGCATACTGCTCTGTGGCTCATGTGAAATTATTACGAAGCCGGAAAATATTTTCCTGATGGCATCGTATTTTGTAACGTGACAATAAAAAGAAGAAATGCTGAGTAAGTTACCCGGTGCTTAGCACCTATCAGACGCACTGTGTTCAAGGATCTCTGAGTGTTTTCTAGGTGAAAATATAGTCCTGAGTTTCTCTTGTCTCTTTGGGATTTCATTGGACTCGTGTGCCCCGTGGGGTTAGAGGACCTTAGTGGAAGGGCCCCACACTTTTTGTGAGGAGAACTTCTATAGGGGCTCCCCAAGACTTTAAGATCAACAGAAGAGGAGTGGCTGACCACAAACCCTGACAGAAGAGGATGCTCATTGCTCTCAGGCCCCCTCCGGCTCACCTCGTAAAACAACCGTCTCCAGGGTAGATGAGCCCTCTCCTGGGGTGCACATGAAAACCCAGAGGATGCAGGGGGAGAACGTTAGAGCAACTATTTCTATTTCTTTAATATATGTTCACACATGTGTATGTATATATATATTCAGCTTTGCATTTTGATATTAGAAGGGGATACTGACATGCTCCCTCATTCCCCTGACCATGATCATGTTGTAGGGAGATATCTTAAGGAGCTAACAGCAGTATATTCGTGGCACATTTCAGTTTGGGGTCCCTGGTTACAAGGATTTACTGGTTGTTACCTGGTTTTAACTAAACTACCCTCGCAAAAGTAAACAAGTGATTTTAAACTGTTCATGAAGAGAAGCATGGATTAAAGATACTACTAGAAATGCAAGCATCCTTGAACAATAAGAAAACAGCAGCCCTGACACTTCTTCTGATGCTCAGGATGAGCTCTTCATCAGCCATGTTGAAAAGTGAAAACAGTGACCAGCTAATCAGATCTAAAATATAGTCTTCCAAATATAAGTTAAAATTATCAAGACTTCTTGAGATAGTTCATTTACATCCACTACCAATGATGATGAAACTCGCCTTAAATATATATATATATTGTCCCTTGACATAACAGTTAATAATTGGGTGAAATCCCAATGATTCACAAAATGTTTAAAAATCAGGCATCTGAAATATGAATATAAACTGCCATGTTTATTCAGAGATGGCTGATCAGTCATGAGACACTCAATCCAGTACTTATCAAACTTTCATCTAACAATTATAAAAGTTTAGTAACTTCTCTTGAACTTTCTTAATATAATGACACATATATACTGCATAAGAAAGTAGATATAGAATATCATGGGTGCTTATCCAATTATTTTTTTACTATGGAAGTGCATGATTTTAAAAATGTATAGATCACTGCCTTCTAAATCCAGGCTGGAGAAGAAATGGTCCCCCCCAATCAACATGCTCAAGACCCCTCCCTATAAGAAGATGCCCCCATCCAGTTCTTCTCATGACCTAACCAAGGAGTATTTCATAGGCTTTTTCCAGAAGGGATTCAGAGCCTCTGTAGTAAAGAGCCTTACAGCATCATAGAATCTCATATGAATTTAGTGTTCATCCAGTTCACCTCTGACGTTTTATAAAGCGGGAGACTCTTTAACAAAGAGTTAAAGTAACTTGCTCAAAATCGCACAGCTGGCAAGTGGAAAGCCAGGCCCACAGCCCACTGTCCTGAGTCCCACCCCACAGGACCGCGCTAGCTTTATAACCAGCACACTGATTGTTACGCATTTCCTCATGGCTTTACACCTACCTTTAAAATATTTAGTATCGATTTCAATTTGAGTTATTACTCCAGGATGTGCCAATCGGAAAACTGCCCATTCACAGCCCGGTAGAAGGAGAATGCCGTTCTCATCATTCTGGAATTCAAAAAGGAAAAAGAAAAAACGTTAAGCCAACTTGGTGTCATTCAAGAAACCAATCCTGAAAACCAGCGGGTGCAAAATGACATCTACTTACATCATCTCTCTTATTCCTTACTATAAGAGGGTTACCTATGGCCTGATTTGTAAATTACTTTTTGTATAAATTTCCTCTGCTACCACTCCTTAAATGCCTCACGATGACTCATGAGTTGATTGGGTACTTGGTAAATTTTTATAAATTTCTAATACGATTTTCTATATCAACTATAAATTCACGTAGAATGCTATACACAACAGGATCTGTACCTAACCCAGCCCATCGGTCCGCTAATCTGTTTGTTTTGACCTTTCAAAGTAGATATGTTCTTGGTGAAATCAATACCAGTTTATGAACTGCCTGCAAACCTTAGTCTCTAGGAAGGAGCATGTATTCATTTATATCTGGAAGTGTTGGGTGACATGAAAACTAACCCAAAAAGGAGGTGTTTACAACTAAATTTTCAGTGGGATTTACAAATTGAAAGGTGTTCTGTTTCATTTTGCTTTCGTTTTGACTCCCTTATCTCAAGTTAATTACTAGCCACATTAAACAGCCAAGCCATCTCTAGAGTCTCGATTGTCACAAGTTCACATACGTGGTCTCATCTGGGGATACACAGATATTAAAAATGATTAAACTTGTGTTTTTTCTCCAGATCGACCGATAAGTTCACTCATGGGTTTTATATCATGAAGTTGCATATCTGTTTCTTTCTTAAAGAAGCAGAGGGATCTTCCAGAGCTGCGTTAGAGTAGCTGACAGTAACCAGTGTGGTTGGCCTTCCGGGTCTCTGCCCTGATATCACAGCGAAGCAGAGGGAATTTGGAAAACGTGAAGAAGTAATAGGCTTTTAGAACGATGCTTAAGAGTTTTCTAAAATAAGATGTAAAATTGACGTAAAATTTAAAAAAAAACAAAACTTCATTTTTTTAAAACCTTAAACCACAGTTGTTTTTAACTTCTTACCTCCAATATTGGGGGCCTGTCCAGCCTTCTTGCAGTTTCCCAACCATCTGCCATAGACTTTGCCTGCCCGACTCCTACCAAAAAGAACATCATTTAACAGGCTATCACATGATGTTATTTTAAATGTGAGAATGAATGCTGGTGTAATTAGATTACAGATCTCATGCACCTAAACATTGCCACATAAACTATTTTCACTAAAGTTAATGTTTCAGTAAATTCATATACAACCATAGGGTTAGTAAATTTTACTTTTCCTTTTATAGCAACTGCTTAAGGAAAAATTAGGAAGGAAAATTGCTATTGATTTACTTCATGTTGTAAATGCATCAGATCCAATACGTGGATGATTAATCTCATCCACTCCCACACTTTGAGGATGGCACCTTCCTCTTAAATCATTCGTACCATATTGGGTGTTAAATGCTGGTGCCCAGATGTCCCAAATAAAAGCCAGCTCCTAGAACATCGTCTCACCTATCATATTGTTCGGGTGCCCAAAATGTGCGTTGCTAAATCCTACACAGGCACCCCCATAAGCGATGGTCACTAGGTCTAGTGGTTCTTTGGGGTCAGTCATTGCCCAGTCTTTTTGTCCAGTACCATATACCCTAAGACGTGCAATTCCGCCATCTGAAAAAGAAAGATGCCTGAGTTATTTCTTACTTGGAAAGTGACTGTGTGCAGATCATAAACTACAAAGCCCTCCACATCTGCCTGCTCTGTTTCTCAAATACACCAAGCCCACGGCCCCAGGGCCTTTGCACTTGCCATTCCCTTGTCCTGGAACAACTTTTCCAGCTCTCCAAAAGACTATTTGTTGTGCTTAGATCTCAACTTAAGTGTCGTGGGCTCAGAAAGGCCTTCCTCTCACTCTCTAATGTTCTCTCCTTCCTGCTCTGCCTGGCCCCCGCCTAATTCACCAGGTTAAGTTTTATCATCTGGATATTTACTCCACAGCTCTAATCACAGCCTGAAATTACCTTGTTTTATTTTAGTCCCTGCTGATATAAGTCTCCCAAAAACAGAATATAAAGTCTTTGAAGGCCAGAACAGTTGCTTTCCTGTTTGCTTCTGTGTCATCTCTACCTAGAGGAGGCCCTGGTACATAGGTGCCCACGTTTTTTTACTGAATTAATAACTTCAGGAAGGTCAAAGCAATTGGGAAATTCATCAGAGATATAATGTTTGGTGCCAGAAATTAGCAATTCTAAATCTTGAGATCACAAACGATAATAGTCACACAATCAAATAGCTGCTGAGAACCACAGCAAGATCTACCAAGATCAATTCACATTATCTGATTTTAATAAAGTAAATTTTTTATGTGTTTGAATATTACTTTCCAGAAGGTGGAAGCCAAGCTTTCTTTATAGGGAAGCTCTAAATCGTTAACCAAAGTATTCTACTGAAACCAAGCCCTGTATATTTTTACATGAACAATTTGGTGAAACTGAGTGATCTGAAGAAAATTTATTAGAACAGTGGAAGTCTTGATATTTTCAATAAATAAAACCAGGGTGCCTTGGCGTAAAACCCTAGAAAATATCCTAGAGGGAGTCACTCAGCAGTGCTGGACTCTGAGAACCATGGTTCTGGTTCATTGAATAGTACGATCTGCCATAATGGTATAGAAGATATTTGTTTATTGAATGTAAAGCTGATTTTATATTTTAAAAAATAAGATTCTTCTCTACAGATTTAGTATCCAACCTCACTTTTAATCAAAACCATCAAGGAATATCAGAAATGCCTCTTGATGCTCTGAGGGCATCTCATTTAAAGCAACCCCATTCCCACCCCATATGTCCCATCCAGGTCTTCCTACTTCCTACTTCCCTCTTATACTTGGACCCTACGTGAAATCCTCAGGAGCACTTAAGGATGCTGCTGAGACATGAGGAGAAATCTGCGTACAGACAGTGCCCCCCTCCCTTCCATCAGCTGATGCTGACCAATTTAAAAAGAACTTGAATGTGCGCAGGGAACCTCAAGATCCGATCCCGCAAAGCGGGTCTTCCATCGTGACTTTTTTCAGACACCCCCTCAACTCCTAAGCTCTGGACAAACTGGGTTGAGCATATGAAGTTGCTATTTTGGTTAATCAAAAATTGCCAAATAGAAACTTCTCAGGGCTTTACCTGAACACTTTTGTTATAACACTTATCACTATTTTGCAGTTATTTTTACTTGTCTTTCTCCCCACCTGGGTTGTTCACTTCATAAGGGCAAGGACTCTGTCAAGTCAATCTAACAACAGATGATTACTGAGCCTCTACTCTGCTCCCCAAGCTGTGCTAGGTACTGGGGGTACACAAATGACAGCCGGGCACATGACCTCTGTCTTTATGAAGCTTACATTCTGTTAGCTCTGCCCTACTCATCATCTGGGAAATGATTACATGGCCAGTGCTCAGTCCTAGCTCAAGGCAGCTACACCATAAGTGTTGAACTAACAAATGGAAAAAGGCCTAAATCTCTCTTGTTGACTTTGCCCATTCAGTTGTTTCCATTGGTTTTAGAATAGATCGTTTCAATGAGCGATCAATATCAGTAAACATGTGTTCAGATCTTTACATGTTGGTGTCTTCCTTTAAAGCATGATAACCAGAAATAAATTGCATCTAAAATGAAGATCAAGAGATCTACTTCTGGCATAACAGCATGAGGAGCTCTGCTAACCCACTCCCCAGTGAAACTGGGGGAAAATAGAAAAGAATCAACCAGTTGAAGTCTCTGGAAAGAGTCCTAAGGGCATACAGCAAATGAAGCAACATTTATTCAAGGAAATCTGCTAAAACTCAGTAAGAACAGTGAGAATCTGTGGTATTTGAACAGGTCAGCACCTTCACTCCCTGCTCCCACTCCAGACAGGTACAGCCAAGAACACAGGGCTTCCTCTCCCCCAGCTCCCAGCTTCCCGGGGCTTTCTTCCTGGAAAGGGCAGGACATCATTCTGCCCCACCTGCCTGTTGCCGAGGCTAAGTCCCAGGGGAGCGTGGTTGAGAAGAGGGGGCTCTTTTCTTCAACTCAGCCCCCACTCATGGGACTGGGGCTCTACCTTGGGCACTGCCCCACTGAGGTACTGGGGCCATGATCACCACGTCTCAGTTCATAAGGCAGAGTTTCCACAATGAAAGAGACAAGCCAAGAAGACCTGAGGCTACTGCCCCCCCTCCACTGAGGACACAGCTCCTAAAGCAAGGGTGTCACTCAGAGAGAAGTGTGCCATTGTCCCCACCCCCAGCTCCAGAGCCAGGGCTCAGAGATTTTGCCCAGGGGAAGAAGTGAGTCATAGAATAGGGAGCTCCAAATCTCTTCCTAATGAACTGACTTCATGTGCAACAGAGTATGGAGAAGTTAAAGCCTAAGGGTTCTCTCAAAAACAATGGAAGTTGTGGTCAAAAGCTATTAAGGGAGACTGGTAGATTCATTAGAGAGATAAATAAACTATAAGACTGTAGTATAAATTGTAAGCCAGACGGTTTGCTGGAAAGAACAGGGAAAGAGCTCAGAGAAGCTCTTCTGGGATCAGAACAAATCTCAAACACTGACTTCAAAAACTGTCACTTCAAAGGAACCCAAATTTAATTGGATTGGTATGTGGAGCAATTTATGCCCAGGGCTTTGTTGAAAAAATAGAGCAATCAGATGGCAATTAGTGGAGCTAATTGTGGGTATGGTTAGGGAAAGAGACGGTCAGAGAGTTCTGCCAAAACCATTATCCCAGGGTCACTGGGGGCATACCCAAGGCTGCACCTCCCCAAGGGGCAACAGAGAAGCTTCACACTGTGAGAGTGAAATGGACTTCACTAGAATAATACAGCCAGGAGCTCAACATGAAGAAACAAAGAGCACCTGTAAAGGTGATTATGTAATTATTATAAGAGACAGTATAAATACATATTTCCTCCCCCTTATTCTCTGAAGTGACTTAAAAAAAAAACAATAGTATAAAATCATATGTATGTAGTGTACTTTGGGGCTTATAATATAAATAAAAGTAATTTATGTGTAATATATTTACCAGAAACAGCACAGAAGTGGTTGTTGGGAGCACAGCTGTATTGGGTTAAGGAAACAACTACATATGGTAACTCAAATTCACAGGCATAAACGAAGAAAACCATAAATGATAAATGGGAAGATTAATATGACAAACCTTAAATAAATATAAGTATATACTTGTTCTCCTTTCTTCTCTCAGCTTCTTTAGAAGATATAAAATTATATAAATAATTGTAAAAATGTATTGTTGAGTTTGTAACATTTATATATGTACTTTGTATAACAATAATGCCACCAAAGGGGGAAAAGGAAATACAGCTATATGAGTAATGTTTCTAAAAAGAAATAACAATAAAATAATGAAAAAAATCATTAAAGAAATTAAAGTGCTACTTACAAAATATTCAATTAATTCAAAAGAGAAGTAAGGAGGAAAAGAGGAACAAAAAAACACAAGACATGGAAAACAAAAAGTAAAATGGAGGCCGGCCCGGTGGCATAGCAGTTGAGTGTGCATGCTCTGCTTTGGCAGCCTGGGGTATGCGGGTTCAGATCCCAGGGACGCACCGATGCACTGCTTGTCAAGCCATGCTGTGGTGGCATCCCCTGTAAAGTATAGGAAGATGGGCACAGATGTTAGCCCAGGACCAATCTTCCTCAGCAAAAAGAGGAGGATTGGCATGGGATGTTATCTCAGGGCTAATCTTCCTCACAAAAAAAAAAGAAAAAAAAAGTAAAATGGTAGATGTAAATACTACTATAAAATAACAATTATGAATGCATTAAACAGTCGAAAGCCAGAAATAGTCCAACCGGATGAAGAATAGTATGGAAAAAATTATATCATGCAAACAGCAACCACAAACAAGCTGGAGTGCCTTTCCTAATAATAGACAAAATAGACTTTAAAACAAAAAATGTTGGGGCCAAGCTGGTGGCATAGTGGTTAAGTTCAAGTGCTCTGCTTTGGCTGCCCGGGGTTCACAAGTTCAGGTCCTGGGCATGGACCGATGCACCGCTCATCAAACCATGCTGTGGCGGCATCCCACATACGAAATGGAGGAAGATGGGCACAGATGTTAGCTCAGGGCCAATCTTCCTCACCAAAAAGAGGAAAATTGGCAACAGATGTTAGCTCAGGGTCAGTCTTCTTCACCAAAAATAAGTTACTAGAGATTAAGAGGGACATTATATAATGATAAAAGGATCAATCCATCAGGAAGATATAATAACTATAAACATATATGCACCGAATAACATAGCACCAAAATACATAAAGGAAAAACTGTCAGAAATGAAAGGAGAAATAGACAACAATAATAGTTGGAGACTTCAATACTCCACTTTCAATAACGGATAGAACAACTAGACAAAAGATCAACAAGGAGATAGAAGGCTTGAACAACACTGTACACTAACTATACCTAGTTGACTTGTAGAACACTCCACCCAACAACAGCAGAATATACATTCTTCTCAAGTGCACATGGAACATTCTCCAGGATAGGCCTTATAGGAGGTCATAAAACAAATGGATTGAAATAATATAAAATATGTTCTCTAATCACAATGGAATGAAATTAGAAATCAATGAGAAAGAAATTTGGGAAACTCACCAATATGTAAAAATTAAACACACTCCAAATAACCATTAGATCAAAGAAGAAATCAAAAAGTAAAATAGAACATACTTTGAGATGAATGAAAATGAAGATATAACATACCGAAACATATGGTATGCAGTAAGCAGTGCTTAAAGGGAAATTTATAGCTGTAAATGCCCATATTAAAAAATAAGAACCTTCACCTTAGGACCCTAGAAAAAAAGAGCAAACTAAACCTAAAGCAAGCAGAAGGAAGGAAATAATAAAGATTAGAGTGGAAATTAATGAAATAATAGAGAATATCAATGAAACTGAAAGCTGGTTCTTTGAAGAGATTAACAAAATTAGCAAACCTTTAGGTAGATTGACCAAGAAAAAAGAGAGAGAAGAGTCAAATTATTAAAATCAGAAATATAAGAGAGGACATTCCTACTGACCTTACAGAAATAAAAAGGATTACAAAAGAACAACTATATACCAAGAAGTTAGTTGAAATGGACAAATTCCTAGAAGACACAAACTACTGAAACTGACTCAAGAAGAAATAGACAATCTGAATAGACTTATATCAAGTAAATATATTGAGTTAGTAAACAAAAAATTTAAATATCAGTTCTTTACAAACTCTTCCAAAAAATAGAACAGAAGGAAACACTTCCCAACTCATTCCATGAGGCCAGTATTACTCTGATACCAAAACCAGACAAAGACATCACAAGAAAAGAAAACTACAGGCAAATATCTCTGATGAATATGGACACAAAAACCCTCAACGAAACACTGGCAAACCAAATCCAAGAAACACATTTTAAAAAATTATACACCGTGACTAAGTGGGATTTATCCCAGGAATTCAACTTTTACATCTGAAACTCAATTAATGTAATACACTGTACCAATAGAAGGTAAGACATTTTATAAAACCACATGATCATCTCAGACAAAGAAAAAGTATTGAACAAAATCCAACACCCTTTCATGACAAACACACTCGAAAAATTAGGAATAGAAGGGAAATCTGTAACCTGTTAGGGGCATCTATGAAACCCACGGCTAACGCCATACTTAATGGTGAAAGACTGAATGCTTTCCCTCTAAAATCAGGAACAAGACAAGGATTCTGCTCTTGCTACTCCTATTCAACAATGCACTGGATATTCTAGCCAGGACAATTAGGATGGAGAGATAGGTAGGTAGGTAGGTAGATAGATAGATAGATAGATAGATAGATAGATAGATAGATGGCATCTAGATTAGAAAGGAACAAGAAAACCTATCTCTACTCATAGATATTATGATCTTGTATATAGAAATCCTAAGGATTCCACTAAAAATCCATTAGTACTAATAAACAAGTTCAGCAAATCTGTAGGATACAAGATTAATATTCAAAAATCAATTGTCTTTCTAAACACTCATAATGAGCATTCCAAAAATGAAATTAAGAAAACAATTCCATTTATAATAGTATCAAAAAGAATAAAAGGTATAGGAATTAATTTAATAAAAGAAGTACAAAATGTATACTCTGAAAACTATAAAATATTGCAGAAAGAAATTAAAGGAGATGTAAATAAATGGGAAAACATCCCATGTTCATGGATTGGAAGACAATATGTTAAGATGGCAATACTCCCCAAATTGATCTACAGATTTAATGCAATCTCTATCAGAATCTAAGCTGGCTTTTTTGTAGAAATTTACAAGCTGATTCCAAAGTATAAAATTGCATATGAAATTGTAAAGGACTTCAAATAACCAAAACAATCTTGAAAAAGAACAAATTTGGAAGACTCACACCTTCTGATTTCAAAACTTACTACAAAGCAACACTAGTCAAGACAGTAAGGGGCTGGAGTAACGATAGACACATAGAACTGAGAGTCCAGAAATAAACCCATATGTCTGTTGATCAACTAATTTTTGACAAGTGTTCCAAAGTCATTCAATTGGGAAAGAAGAGTCTTTTCAACAAATGGTTCTTGGACAACTGATATCTACATGCAAAAGGAAGAAATTGAGTCCTGCCTCACACCATATACAAAAATTTATCAAAAGACCTAATAAGAGCTAAAAAGATAAAACTCTTAGAAGAAAACATATGGGTATTAATTCTTCATGACCTTGGATTGGCAATGATTTCCTAGATATGACTCCAAACACACGAGCAACAAAAGAAAAAAATACATAGTTGAACTTCATCAAAATTTAGAACTGTTGTGCTTCAAAAGAAGTGAAAGGACATCCCACAGAAGGGGAGAAAATATTTGCAAATCATACATCTGATAGAGGATTTGTATTTAGAATACATAAATAATTCTTCCAACTCAATAATAAAAGACAAAAACCCAATTTAAGAATTGGCAAAAGATCTGAATAGACATTTTTTCAAAGAAAATACACAAATAGCCAAGTAAGCAACTGAAAAGATGCTCATCATCATTAGTCATCAGGGAAATGCAAATCAAAACCATAATGAGACACCACTTCACATCCTCTAGGGTAGCTGTAATCAAACAGTCAGATAATAACAAATGCTGGAGAGGATGTGAAGAAATCTGAACCCTCATACACTGCTGTGGGAATGTAAAATGATGCAGCCATTTTGGAAAACAGTCTGATATTTCCTCAAACAATTAAAAACATAGTTATCATACGACACAGCAGTTCCAATCCTAGATATATACCCAAATGAAAACATATGTCCACATAAAAACTTGTGTAGGAATGTTTATAAGCAGCATTATTCATAAGTAGCCAACAGGTAGAAACAACCCAAATGTCTATCAGCTGATAAATGGATAAACAATGTGGTCTGTCCATACAATGGAATATTATTCAGCCATAAAAAGGAATGAAGTACTGATAAATCCTACAACATGGATGAGCCTTGAAAACATTATGCTAAGTCAAAGAAGCCAGTCACAAAAGACCATTTATATGAAAGGTCCAGAACAGTCAAATCTATCAAGACAGAAAGTAGATTAGTGGTTGCTTAGGGCTGGAGGAGATGAGGGTTGATAGCTAAAGGGTATAGGATTTCTTTTTGAGGTGATGAAAATGTTCTAAAATTGACTGTGATGGTTGCACTATATATTTACATAGACTTTAAGCCATATACTTACGTATACTATAAACCATTGAATTGTACACTTCAAATGGTTAAATTGTACATTATGTGAATTATTTTACAATAAAGCTGTTAAATAAAATAAAATGAGGGTCATTTTTATGTACCACTTCAACTGCTAATATATCTGTGAAATAGAAATTTTTAAGAGCTATCTAATCTAATACAACTTAGTTCCATCACATTCTAACTTACTTGACAGTTTTTCAATAACTACCTATGGATGGATGGGTTAAAACAAGAATTTCCTAGAGCACCAACAGGGCAAATTATAATCCTAAAATGCTAGAGAGGTCAGTGACCAAGAAGGAAAGCGTGATTTCATTTTATATTTTTTAAATATGCCAACCTTAAGTAAAGAAACCATAGACTGGAGATGGGTCCATGTCATATTTACCTGGGTAAATGTTGAGTCTTATATGAGTCCATCTCTGCTGGGAATTGATAGGAAAATAGTTGTGGCTGGAATCAGGCTTTCCTGGTTTAAGCTCTGTCATGGGAACCAAGTAATCCCAGTCGTCGGACTTGAACTAGCAATAAATATAAAAATGTTAGCAACGGCTCCAGGGAACAATAAACTCTCTCATCCTAGTGCCCAGGTGGGGTTTACAGGGTAGAGATACTTTGGAATAAAAATTAATGATGGATGCCTAATGCAACATTTTAACACAAATACTAATAAAGATCAAGTCCCAGTTTTCATAATAAATGACTCAAGGCCTGTAATTTTTCACCCTGATCAAAATAGCCACTGAGTGATGGTGGCAGTGGGTGGGAAGGGAGGGTCGGGAATGAAGGACAAGATCTGAGATCCCTCCAAATGCCTTCACCTTGAGGATTCTTAGAAAGAAGAGACCTGAGTGTGATGTGAACATTCAAATAAAAACTAGGAATAGCCCCATGGACCGCGAGATCTCAGGTAAATTGGTTGGTCTGAACCTTGCAACAATTTTCTCTAGATAAGTGCTTCTCAAACTGAAGGACCTGTTTGTTGTTATTCATTTCCCAGTCTGCTATGGACCGACACTTTTGTAAAACACAGTGTAAATTACTTACTACATAAATAAACTTAAAAAACAAGAGTGTACCAAAACACAAGCCCAAACTGTTTATTTTAGTAAATTCATCAGACATAAAGTTACTTTGTCAAATTGCTATAGAGAGTCTTTAAACTGTTGCTGTCAGTTTCTGTATTTATCTCATCAGGGGCCAGCAGCAATTTGCAGGTGGGTGCCAGTGAGCGGACAGCCCTGTGAGAAGCACTGCTCTAAGTCTCGCACGACCATGTCCTTTCCTCATACGGGGGTTGTATGAACCGCTCATGAAACACCCGAGAAGTTGCACCGGGCAAGTAAATGAGGTGAGGCGTGCCAGGGCCGAGTGTCCCAAAGAACCCCCTTGCGTCGCCAGGCATGCTGTCCTGACAATCCAGGCGAGACCCAGTTCTTTTTGGAGGCCTACCTCAGCGATAGCTTCAAACTCCTCTGGAGTGGCCCCGGCTCCTGTCCTGAGTGCTCTCTGTGGGATCTCTGGTTGTTTATCTGAAGTCAGAATGACCATTTAGGGTTACAGATCGAGTTCAAAAATCAAAGAGAAGACACTCTCTCAGTGGGTCGTATGGTAATTTTCATTTTGCCAAATAACACTAAAGATATCATTCTTTAAGTCAAAGTAGCAGATGGTCAAAGTAATAACCACACCCGTTGAAGTTCCTCATTATTTAAAGTATTGACAGTAATTTCAAAAAGTAGTGCAATACATTTGATAGTGCATTCGCTTGTCAAAATAGTAAATACTGTTTTCAAGTTAGGTCAAACTTCAGCAGATTCATCACATGACTAGAGTTTTCAAAAGTTGGATCAGTAAAGGTTCGGGATATTGCAAGGTCAATCCCAAAGAAACTACTTCCCTCAATGGCATCCTTAAAATTGATACTTAGGCAACTCACGGGCTTGCTGAAAGAATCTTACCCATTTGTCACTGGTTATTTCCCGCTTGTAAAGTAACAACTCACCTATCATCATTTAACTTTTCAGGTACCCAGCTGTCTTTCAGGAGGAGGCTCCATTCATATCCACAGAGCCTCATACAGTACTGTGCACACAGCACTTTCAGTATAAATTTGCCAATTGGCCTGATATATCTTCCCAAAGTACATGTATGTATACACACATAATGATACATATTTCTAAAAAATTAATTCTGGGACCAACATCACATGAGGCCAATTAAAGGAATAAAAACACAGGTTTAACTTATAGAGCCTGTATGATTCATATGGTCCAGCATTCCAAAATACAGAAGGGAACCTTTTCTGAAAACCCCGTAGCTGATGCATCATTACGCACACTGGGATAGCTGAATGTGGAGCTGCTGCAGCTGGCCCCACAGCTGGCTCAGACCTGGATCCACATCATCCAGATCCAGGCAGCCGCCCTACCCAGCAGCCTGCTCACCAAACCTCACAGGGACATGAGGATGTGCCTTTGGGTGAGGCCTGAAGAGTGTGGGAATAATGAAATCTAAATTGGGCCACAGAACATTGTTAAGCTAAAAATCAAAAATCACAGAGCACTCTGTAGGGAACTGAGTTCTAAAGCTCTGTGGTGGTGAAGTGGCCTTGACGAGTTGCTGAAGCTATCTGGATGGAAAGTGCACAGTCAGGGGCTGGGCCCAATGAGCTTCACGACCCCACAGTGCTTATTCTGGGGCCAGTGGTTTCCGAGGCACCTTCTTCCAAGCATGCTGCTTGAATTGACATTCGAGGAGGGTGATCTCCCACGAAGTAAGAAACGTCCACGTCGAAGCCCCGGATAATCCCTTGTATCCCCAGCCTGACAATGCACCAGTCGTGACCTACGAGACAAACCGCAAGAAAATCCCTGTTAGATTTTTTTTTTCCCCAAAGCCCCAGTAGATAGTTGTACGTCATAGTTGCACATCCTTCTAGTTGCTGTATGTGGGACGTGGCCTCAGCATGACCGGAGAAGCGGTGCGGTGCGTCGGTGTGCGCCCAGGATCCGAACCAGGGCTGCCAGCAGTGGAGCACGCGCACTCAACCGCTAAGCCACGGGGCCAGCCGCCCCGTTAGATTTAATTCAGCAGATGAATCCTGTGATTGAACAGAACTGAAACGAAAATAAACGACAGGAACACCCTCCTCCCAACACGGAAAATTATGCCCAGGTTAATTCTCAGCTATGACTTTAAGATCTCTCCTAATGTGGCCACATGTGACCACCATTCCTCAATGAATCCTCAATTCTAGTCGGGCCAGAACACCTATAGGCCTAGGACTCAGAGAGACCCGATTCTGATTCCACATTGATCATTTCCTATGTGTGCCTTCCTCAAACTGTTTGGCCTCTCTGAGCCTCATTTCTTCAACTGCGAATCAGAGATGAGATTAGCTTCCCAAAAGCTTGAATGTGACTGTGTGGTGTAGACAACACGTAGCCCAACTCAGCAGGTTCAGTGTAGAGCTGGGTCTCCTGGAAACACTGTGCTCGTTGTCATCTCGGGCCTTAGGGAATTCCTACCGTGCCCCCACTCAGAACACCCTCCATTGCGTCTGCTAGAGTCTAAGATCTCTTGAAGTCAGTATGTCACTTGTGGTTCTTGGTTACTTGCAGTCAGATATGGACCCACCTTAAAACGTCCAGATTTTTAGACTCTAATAATGTCTGGAGTACCATAGAAATAGAGAAAATTAGAAATATCCAATATTTATGTAATACTTAAGACAATAGCAAAAAAATCCAGTTATTAGCCTAATGCTGGATTAGTTTGCTTTTACAAGCATTTCTTCAACTTTAAAACCTGTATTTTGATTGAAATTGATGAGTAGCAATGAATAAAAGTAGCATCTTAAGGTGACATTAAAGATAGTATATACAGTGGCATAGGACAGATCTTGGTTCAATTCCTGGCTTATCTTCCATTTATGTGACCTGGGCTAAGTTAGTGAGCCTGTTTACATAGCAATTAAATGGGGGTAAGAACACCTCCTTCAGAGAGTAGTGGTGAAGACCAAATGGAAATTCATTTACCAAATGTTTGCCACATTGCTCAGTGAGTGTCTGCTCCTCCCCTTCATCCACAGCCCTCAGAATATTTTCATCTTCCTAACAAAGTGTTTGCACTCTCCTTTTTGCCTGGTGGGGCATGGACGACCAGCTCTCCAGCTACCCCTTCCTGAATTTTCAGAGCCTGATGTTCAGAAGGAACATCTGAGATGACAGAGCATCCCAAGGGCCCCATGTTAAAACTGACCCAAACGAACACTGGCTTTCCAACAGCCCCTGTTTTTGAACTTTGCAGTATTGAATGCACAGAGTCATCATCTTATTACCTGGAATCCTTTTCCTTCTGGTCTGCCATCCATCCATCCATTTCCCAAACTCAGTATATTCATGTTCTTTAAAACTTGGGCTGTCACTCTAAAGCAAAGGTGTACAACAAATCAGTAATTAACATTCACTCAGGAGCCTAGGCTTCCAACATATTAATTTTTGCCCCAAAGAGACAGAAGGGCCCCGCAAACAGGACTCTTGGGGAGTCCTTAGTGGGGAGTCCCTGCCCCCACCCTCAGACACAGGTAACCCGTTCCAAATCAGGGATGCCTCCTTATCTTTGTATCATCTTTAGAGAAAGAAATTCTACTCTGTGGACCTCAGTACACGGAATCAACCCCTGATAGCAACAGGTAAACCACATCGCAATTAATTCCACAGGCCCCACAAATGGTGCAACTCCCAAGCACAACCTAGGGGCATACTGAAAGGCCACCGGGACAAAATGAGACAGGACAGTTAGATTTCCCAAGCAACCCAGGAAAGACTGTTTAACAAGGTGTTCATCCAAAGTCATATGAAGAGTAGGCCGGATGCTCGGGGTCCAGCGGACCGCTTAAACCCCAGTGCTCTGAGCTCTCCACGCCCGCCTGGGGAAAAGAGGACTCTGAAGGCGCAGAAGCCAGTGTGAGGCTCAGCTCAGCCACTTATTGGGCCCTGAGACAAACGGCTGAGTTCCTGCTGCCTCATCTTTAAGAACAGGATGGTGAATACATCCCTCACAGAATTCTTATGAAGTTGAAATAAAACCCGTGAAAGCCCCTTGAATAGTATAGACTGAGAAATTGTTCTGTGCTTGGTGGGTGGCCAAGCTTGGGGACATTTTCCCTTTTCACAGCAAGTCGGGTGCAGGGAGGACCTGATGTTTCTGCTTCGGGAAAGCTCCCTGGAGCTGCAGAGGAAAGACAAAGTCATGGACGTGGTGGTGGGGCCTGGGCAGGGCGCCCACAGAGCCGCTGCACGTGGCACAGCCGAGGATGCCACATGCGCCACAGCGCCCCGTAGGCGAGGGCCCAGGGCGAAGTCCTCCGCCAGCGCTCTTGAGCCTCAGTTTCCCCACATGTCAAAGACAGATGACAACAGTGCTGCCTTCCTCCTGAGGCCCCTGTGAGCATTGGAGCGCTGAGAGCAGAGCCCGGCACCTAGGAAGCCCCCAAGATCTGTTCAGCATTATTATATCAAAGTTGGTGGCATTTTGAATGTTATTACAATCCAATCACATCTTAAAGACAACCCACACTCCAGCCTGTCCTTTGTTCATAAGGAGTTGTGAAGCTCTGTGTTGACCCAGAGAGAGGAAAGAGGGCGCACCACCCACTTACACCCAGGCCTCTCGGCCTCAAGCTTTTTGGTGTTTAGTGAAGCTTCGGTGGCAGATAGGTCATTTTAGGTGTGTTGTTGCTGTGACTGCTGCCGTGGTGACTGGATTGATGTAAAAAGCATGAGGGAAGCTACTGAATTGGTGGCAGGAGAAAACAGGACTGTCACAAAATGGTACTCGCCACACAATGGCAAACACGTTCTTAAAGAAAAGAAACCAAAGGCTAATCCCAGGGAAAAACCTGCAGGTGCACAGAGACCTGCGCAAGGATGTTTACCACAGTGAAAGTGTAATCGACCTAAACAGGAAACGTCAAACAGGCCCAGGGATTTGGTTGGTTACCACCCAGCAGCTCAGGAATCACCCAGACCCCCAAGAACCAGCCTGGATGGACATCACAAGCATCCAGTGAGAAAGCATGGTTGCAGAATGTTAAGTACTTGATGATAATAGTACACAAATTTAAAAACAGAAAGCAGGACTCTTTCTATATATGGATATGGATATATTTATTTAAAATTACATAATATATTAGAAGAATATGCCAATCTTACAATAGTGTTAATTCTATAAAGGGAAGGAGTGGATTGGCAGTGGAGTTGGTGGTGAAAGAGCCTATAGCTTTATCTGTAATATTCTTTTTTTCCAGACTTGTAAAAGCGATTTGTAAGCATGACTACCTATAAGTGATTTGTAAATATGACTATGTATACATATGTATAATATATTCTCAAGTGTATGTAGGTATATATACTCAAGTATATATATAATATAGATACTTATATCTATAATAGTACATATATATACATACTCAAGTGTAAAATATAGGAAATAAGGCCCCCTTCTCTCTCCCACCCACTTCCCAAGCCCAGCTCTTCACAGACAGCCACCCTTCACAGTTCGATGTGCATCCTTTCAGTCATGTTTTCTATACATGCAATATACATGTTTTATATACATACATACAACATGCATGGACCTCTCCTTGCCAGGGTGTGGAGAGCTGGCTCATTCTTTTTAGTAGCTACATAATATTCCATATCTGGGAGATCCATAGGTTCTTTAACTAGTTCCCTATTGATGGACATTTAGGTTGATTTTTTCCTCTCTGAACAACACCAGAATGAATATTTTCTATATATCTTTGCCTACTTGTGCAAATAATGTAAATCTGTGGACTAGCTAGATCAAGGTACTATGCATTTAAATCTTTCAAAAATAGAACATATAGCAAAAAGGTGAGAACTTTGACATTTACTAGCTGTGTGACCTAGAACAAGTTAACCAATATCTCTGTTCCTCATTTTATTATCGTTTTCTCTGAGGAATAAGTTAATATATGCAAGATGCCCTCAGAGGGTCATATTGCAACATGCTCTGGACCTGGGCAGGTCCTGTCCACACAGAGTAACATTGAACCAGAGCATCCAGATGGCCACTGACCGTGGTGGAAGATGGCATGCTGCCCACCAGGCCGGAGGCCCTGAGCTGCAGTCACACTCACTGTGCGTGGGCGTCAACTCTGTGTGCACCTGTGTCCATCTCCCCACTCGCAAGAATTCTGACCCACACACAGGTGTGCAAGGTAGCAGGATTCCAGCAAAGCTTCCATTTCTTCCTGATATTTGTTAGTATTTTCTGTTTGTGTTTTTTTAGTAAGCATGTCCTACGCTTTTAAAATTAGGCAGGTAAAACATTTTCCAAAAAATTCAAGTTGTATACCAGTTTTCTTCCCAACACAGATTAGGAACGCCACGTAAGACAGAAGAGCAATAATATATGAGGATCTCAGGAGTTTCCCCAAAAGCAATGTGGTCCCAAATTCCTGTGTCAGGTCCCGTCTGTCTCTGCTATGTCTTAGCATGAGTTGATGCTGATTTCTACATGTTTCTCCTGTTCTGATATGCTAGTTCACGGGTACACACCACGTGACTCCCATCCCAATTATACAGGTAGATTTTAATTCACACGGCTGCATCCATCACTCTACGCCAGCACCTTACATTGCTGAACGCCAATTTACAATACCTTTATGAGGTTCTCTGCAGGAGCAAAAAAGTCATCTGTTGCAAACAAAATCTAGACAAATAAAGAAAGAAGTAAAGATAAAATAACCGTAAATTAAAAACCATTTTATTTCATTCCCTAGTGAAACATTACAAGATGCAGTAAAAAGAAAACGTGAATTGCCAAGGGGAAGAGAAACAATATGCAATTAAGCCACAATGCTTTTTAAATGTTACATGACATTGCCTGCCTCCTTCTTAATCTTTCCTTCCCACTCTTTATTCTTAATTTCCTTCACCATCTGGATGCAAACGTGACAACTTCTTACACTTGGCAAGGAAATAAACCAACTTCCTCTTCTCAAGAACCAAGGACCTAGGCTCTGTGCCTCTTTCACAGACAGAGCAGTGGCACAAAGACACCGCCCTGGGTCACCCCGTGGTTCTGCCAGCTCACCAAAGTACGCCCTGCAGGTAGTTGGCCTGGTGATTGGTCATCCAAAGCAGGATGTTTTCAAGAGTGAGATGGGGTGCTAGTAATTACACCAAGAAAACAGATGGAAACCGCATTTTCCCAAGCAAAACAGGCTGCTGGTCACCCTGCCTGACCCGGGACCCAGTGACAGCTGCAGTCTGGAGGGGACACAGTGCCCTGGCCTCTGACTCCAGCCCAGAACCTAAAAGATGGAGAGGATAGCACTGTTTTGGAGCTGCCGGCTGTTTGGGCGGCTGAGGGTAGGGGAGCCGGGGAGTTGCTGCTGTGTGGGGTTGACTGCCCCCTGAGAATTTGTCAGGACTGTTAGAGTCCGTCCCTTGTTCCAGATCCTTCAATGGCTCCTCAGCAGCAACCCTCCCAGGGCACTTGAGGCCTTTCCTACCTCTCCAGGCTCATGCCTCCGACTCCCCCTACACACACCTGGTGTGTTCCAGAAACACTAACCCAACTGGAGCATGTCGTGCTCCCTTCACAGCATCTTCTGTCTGAAATGCCCTTCACCCTTCTTTGCCTTGACAGCTCCCTCTCCCGCTTCAAGACTCATGAGCATCACTTACCTGGATAGTCCTTCCCAACCCTTTCCCACCCGCCTGCCCACGGCTGGAGTAGACGTGCTCCCACAACACCCTGTCCTTGCCTGGATGACAGCTCTGATCTGGACTGTCTCCCTGGCAGAGTGTGAGCTTCTTGAGGGCAGATGTAGATCTTTCCCTTCTGTACCATACATAGTGCCTCTGCACATTACTGGTACCTTAGCACATTTGCACATTGCTGGTACCTTAGTGCCTTTGCACATTGCTGGTTCCTTAGTGCTTTTGCATATTGCTGGTACCTTAGCGCCTTTGCACGTTCTGGTACTTTAGGGCCTCTGCACATTACTGGTATCATAGCACCTGCACACTGTATAACAAGTTCTCCAGGTGATTCTCATATTAGAGCTTGAGGACCTCTGATCTATACCATAAGAAAACACACAGAGGGATAGTGAATTCTTTTCATAGGTGCAAAATGTCTCTGTTTTAAACTTAAGGCCACGTTGCTCTTGTATCATAACTGTCATCAATTTAAGAAAAATCCTTTGGAAGCCTTTTGCAGTAATGGGCTTCCTCAGGTGGCCAATACTTCAGCCTGATTCCTGCCCTTCTGATTAGGTTCTCAGCAGTGGTGAGTTGGATCCTTAGCTCGGGTACCTTAAGAACTTGTTCTTGTTGGGAGAGATCGCTTACCTGTCCTCCCATAGACTCACACGCCATGTCAGTCAGCTGAATGAAGGCCGGAGCCCTGGCCAGCTTTCCCTCCCTGGGAGAGTCCGCCATGCTTCCTGGCAACGAGAAAGGCAGGCTCAGTCAACCTCCGGTGCAGAGGGCGGCAGAGCCTGTGTGAGTGAGCGAGGCCCTCGTCCAGGCTTCCAAAACCAAGGCTTCAGACGTCCGAACAACACTGTCAACTGGATGTGGCAGGTGCCCTCCTGCTCAAGGATCCCTGCAGATTAAATTACAGATGACTTTAACAAATGCACAGAAATAGAGAGAATTAGAACACAGCTTCCTTCTGAAGTATTTAAGAATAAAATATACACAGCCTAATGCCACAAAATGCAAGATTTTGTTATATAAAGGGGGAAAATATTTTAATTTAGAAAAGAATAATTTGCTTTTAATAGTGCTTGGATCCATTCAAAAAACACTTATTGAACAACTAGGTGACAGGCCCTGGCTAGAAATGGGGTACAGAGGAGAATGCACACCCTACCTATGGGGCTTCTACCACGGTGGGAAACAGATGCCCACAGACGCACACACAGAGCCACAGAGATTTCTCCATCCAGAATTCAGGACCACTTGTCATATCAGCAGGAGGCTAATCTAATGGAATCTGACTCCCCAGCACCCTTACTTTGGAGGTGAGAAAGCAGAGGTGAGAAATGGAGAGGGGCGTCGAGGGAGAGTGGAGGAGTCAGGACTGCCGAGGTCGCCCCACTCCTGAGCCAGTGGGTGAGCCTGTGTTCCCATCCTTTTTCTCTGCCCCTCATGGTGAAAAGAGAAAACTACATAAAAACTAATATCTCATTGAGAATTATTCATATTCACAAAAGAAGAAATACAAATGGTCAATGGACATGAGGCGTTGTCAGCTCTCCCTTGAAATCACAGGAATATAATTAATCATAAAAAGACATTCTTCCCTATGAATTGGACACTTTTTTTTAAACAGACAGGCACCCCATGATCTGCTCTCAGGAAAGTGACTTGGACCAGTCTCTGCAGAGTGATTTGGTGATAACTACAGCCTGAGAGGCAGCTCCTTGCCATTCTCCTCTGCCGGTGACCTCCCCGGGCTGCAGTGTCCTGGGCTACCTGACTCTCCTCTTCCTCTGCACTCGTCCCTCTGGAGAGCTCAGCCACGCTCTTCATACCATCCATGTGCTGATCATCCCAAATACATATTGCCTTCCTGGATTTCCAGCCACCAGCTCAAAATATCTCCCCTTTGACATCTAATCGCGTCCCACGGCTGGCGTGTCCCACACTCAGCTCCTGCTCTTCCCAGCCCTGCTCCTCCCTCGGGCTTCCCCGTCTCAGCCAGTGGCGACTCATCCGCCCAGCCACTCAAGCAAAAGGCTTGCAGTTGTCTTTCATTCGTCTCCTCTTTCCCTTACACTTCACATCCAATCTGTCGGAAAATCACGTCTGCCTTCAAATTAGATCCAGAACCTTGAAATGATATCATATCTGGAATTTTCTTTAAAATAATCTGGAGAATTTTCTTCATAATTATCTAAGAAGGAGGGAAGTGAATAAGGACATAGGTGAACAAGATTGGCCATGAGTTGATAATTGTTGTAGCTGGATGATGGGTACGTGGAGGATGCAGATAACATTTTTATCTACTTTTGTATGTGTTTGAAATCTTTTACAATAAAAGTTTTACATATTATATGCATTATACACACACACGAAGAGAGAGAGAATGTGGGGGGCGGGGGGACACCATCATCATCTCTCTCCTGGGTCATTAAAATATCCCCAACTGCTCTCCTATGTCCACCCTCCCTCTCCACAGTCTGCCCTCAACACAGCACCTTCAAAAACAAGAGTCAGTTTGTTAAAAACCCTGCAAGAAGGTTCCCTTCTTACACTCAGAGTAAGAGCTGGTCTCCTTACAGCAGCCACAAGACCCTCCCTCATCAGGCACCCATTTCTCTCTGACCTCTTCTTTCCTACTCACCTCGCTCTACTCCAACCACACTCGCTCCTGGTAGCTCCTCGTCACACGTGGCAGGCGTGTCCTGCCTCTGTGACTTTGCAATGGCTGTTCCCTCTGCTGGGATGCTCTTCCTGGGATATCTGTGCGGCTCACCCCTCACCTCCCTCCAAGCCTTTACTCGACTACCACCTTCTCAGTAAAGCCACTACAGTAAAGCTGTGACACCTGCTATCTGCAGGGGTGTCTCCACTCCCCCAGCACTTCCAACGCCACGACCCCATCTGCCTTTGTTTCCATGGTAGATAGACACACTGCGTAATGTGCTTGTTTATAATTTGATCTTTCCCAATTAGACATATGCTCCATGAGGACAGTAATTTTTGTTTTGTCCACTAGTGTATCCCCAGGGCTTGGAACATTGCCTGACACATACAAGATGCTTAGTAAATATTTGTGGAATAAGTGAATGAGTGAATAATGTTTTCTAACTCTTTTTGTGTTTTTAAATACTGATTCCCTAAAGGGACTAAAATCTTCCTGAGGATGAAGAGGTGCCGAAGAAGAAATGTACTAACATTTATTCCGAGTTTGCAATAACATCATGCATGGTTCAAATATTTTATCTCATTTTAATCCTGAGAACAACTCTGTGATTTGGGTATTATTCACATCTTACGAAGGAAGAAAATGCTTCTCTGAGCAGTCAAGTGAACGGTCTAGACCACACGGCCAGGAGGTGGACCATACGCCCAGATACGGGTGACGTTGGAAAGCTCTTAGTATGGTGCTGGCACACGGAAGTACTACATAAAGCATGTCAGAGAAGCACACTTCATTCCGCTGTGTATTTACTCACTCAGCAACCGTGTGTGGAGCTCCCATGACGTTCAGGCACTGAGCCAAGCGGTAGGGTTACCGCAGCTCTCAAAGGGCTCTCAGTGGAGGGCAGGGTACAGACACAACAACAGGGGATGGCAGTGACAGAGATGTCCTCACAGCACAATGGACACTGAGGACGCACACCCAGTGAGCTTCGGGGCTCGGGAGCTGGGAGTTGAAAAGGAGCAGGGAGGCAGTGTGGACTCCAGGAGCCACAGAGCCAGATGGCGACATTTGTCTGGACCTGCACTCTCCAACCTGGAAGCCACTGGCCATACATGGCTATTTAATAAATTGAAAATTAATTAAAATTAAATAAAAGCAAGAATCCAGTTCCTCCTTGAGCTAGCCATATTTCAAGTGCTCAGTAGCCACATGTGGCTTCCATACTGGACAGGGCAGACACAGAACCTTTCCATCATCGCAGACAGTCTTAGTGGACCATGGTGGAAAGCTCTGAAGAAATTATGGCGCAGAGCCCACCCCAGCACACCCACCACCTCCACGTACTGCAAAACTACAGCCAACACTAAACCACAAGACAGACGCACGCCCTACACAGGCCGACGGGTCAAACGGCGTCTTCACGGAGCTCTCACTGCACGTTCTGGGGCAGCTCATCAAAGCGGAGACATTCTCATTCTGCTTGAGCTCCGCCAGCCTCCCCGCCGGCCAGCCTGGGGGCTCAGAAGCGCAGAGGCGCGGGCTGTCACAGACGGGGCCTGGCGGAGCCGGGGGGCACTCGGGGCGGGCCTTCCTCCTCACCACAGAGGTTTAGGAACTGTCCTGTATCCGCACACAACCACACAGTGCCAGGCCAGTCTGGACACTCAACAAAGGCTTGCTGAGTATGTAAGGTGCTTAAATAACTACAAAACATTTGATTTACCCGGTCATTCCTTTTTTTTCAGTCAGTTGCAGCGAGCCTGATATGCACCGGGACCGAGTGTTTGAACATTTTGCCTACGTCAATAATTCAAGGCTCCTCTCTCAGCTGCCCGCACTTGACTGAGAAAGTGAGGTGTCATGTTAACATGGGGCACGGCCCACCCTGGGGCTTATCATTGCGCCCCCCTGCTGGCCAGAGAGCAGGAGGAAGGTGGACGATGCTCTTCTTCATCCTTGCTGTCTTTATCTTTTTCTTTGATATGCCTCAGACGACCTGCACCAAGCAGTCCGTGTTACATGCGTGAACCAGAGGCTGCGAATTCAAGGGAGAAAGAGATCTCGGGGCGGGGAGGGGGGTGGGGGGGACGACATTTTACGCTTGTTCTCAAGGTATCGGTCTCAACACTTCAGGTTTTTATTCTCCCACTCCCCAAAAACTGACACTCAATTTAGACAATAAAAAAAGAATGCTCTCTTCTGGAAATGAATGTTTCCATGTGGAAAACACATAAATTAAAGCTCCTCTTCAGCAGACATTCCTTGGTGTAGCAGTGCCCTCTGTGGCTAACGCAGCAAAGCAGACAGACCCTTCCCGGCATTCGCCTCCAAGTTACAGCAGCATCCAGGGCCAACACCAGGCTGATTTAACAGAGCCGGTTGCTCACACTGGGTGAACACGCTTTCCTCAAGCCCGTGAAATACATACATGGTCGTGAAGAGCACCTCAAAAACAGGTGTTTCCAGGCTAATGTTTGCTTTTCCAAACGAAATCTAGCATTTGGACACATCTGCTTTCATTGGCAGAAATTCAGTTTGGGGCAGAAATATCTCTGTAGGCTCCTCCCTCAGCCCTCCCACGAGTCCACGTCCGCTGGCTTCCCCCTGGCCTGCGAGCTTCACTGGCGACGGGAGTTACAACGGGAACTCTACAGCTGCTTCCAAGAAATAGTCGCGTAAGTGCTTTCTCCTTCTCTTGGCAAAGCTCCATTTGCAATTAAGACCTGCTACTCAAGTGCATTTAAAATGTGTCACGTTGAGATAAAAGAAAACCAAACAAACCTGTGCAAAATACTGCAGAGGAGGCTCGGTAGAGAAAAATCTCAAAGGATTATTAAGCCTTTGATACAACGTAATAGCAAAGCAGTGGCTGAGGGGGCAGGGGTAAAATTCAGCCGCCGTCCTCTCCTGGCCACTCACTCCCTTTTCTGCTACCCTGTCTGTCTTTATTTTTTGTGTGTGAGGAAGATCAGCCCTGAGCTAACATCTGCCAATCCTCCTCTTTTTCTGAGGAAGATTGGCCCTGAGCTAACATCTGTGCCCATCTTCCTCTACTTTGTATGGG